AAAGTTACATATGGCTGGTGAGAACCAGTGAGGTAAACTAAATTTTTCTAAGCTTATGCAGTCAATTAATAGCATAGCAGGGACTGGGATCCAGGTTTCCACCTTCCAGTTTAGTTAGCTTCACATTCAATCATCCTGCATCCCTTCCAGTTTTAGGAACTTGAACAAGTCATGTTGCCTCTGAGACCTAATGGCAAGTAATGGAATATCCAGCCAGAAGTAATTTAAATAAACAAAGGCCTTGTTCTCCTCTCATAACAAGGAGTAAGATGTACATCAGTGGCTAGTATTATTTTAGTGATTTAGTGATGCCATGATGGACCTAGGCAACTCTCTCTTTCTATTTCAACATATTTAGTATTGGCTTCTTATCTGCATCACTGTTGCCTCATGGTTACAGGATGACTTCTGCAGTCCAGACATCACATCCATTTTTGAAACTCTGATTTAATACTTTCTTTTTTTTTTTTTTTTGTGGTACGCGGGCCTCTCACTGCTGTGGCCTCTCCCGTTGCAGAGCACAGGCACCAGACACGCAGGCTCAGCGGCCATGGCTCACGGGCCCAGCCGCTCCACGGCATGTGGGATCTTCCCAGGCCGGGGCACGAACCCGTGTACCCTGCATCGGCAGGCGGACTCTCAGCACTGCGCCACCAGGGAAGCCCTATACTTTCTTTTTTTTAAACAACTTTATTGGAGTATAATTGCTTTACAATGGTGTGTTAGTTTCTGTAGTTTCTGCTTTATAACAAAGTGAATCAGCTATACATATACATATATCCCCATATCTCTTCCCTCTTGTGTCTCCCTCCCACCCTCCCTATCCCACCCCTCTAGGTGGTCACAAAGCCCCAAGCTGATCTCCCTGTGCTATGTGGCTGCTTCCCACTAGCTAGCTATTTTACATTTGGTAGTGTATATATGCACATGCCACTCCCTTACTTCGTCCCAGCTTACCCTTCCCCCTCCCTGTGTCCTCAAGTCCATTCTCTACGTCTGCGTCTTTATTCCTGTCCTGCACCTAGGTTTTTCATAACTTTTTTCTTTTTCTTTAGATTCCATATATATGTGTTAGCATACAGTATTTGTTTTTCTCTTTCTGACTTACTTCACTCTGTATAATCGACTCCAGGTCCATCCACCTCACTACAAATAACTCAGTTTCGTTTCATTTTCTGGCTAAGTAATATTCCATTGTATATATGTGACACATCTTCTTTACCCATTCATCTGTCGATGGACATTTAGGATGCTTCCATGTCCTGGCTATTGTGAATAGAGCTGCAATGAACATTGTGGTGCATGACTCTTTTTGAATTATGGATTTCTCAGGGTATATGCCCAGTAGTGGGATTGCTGGGTCGTATGGCAGTTCTATTTTTAGTTTTTTAAGGAACCTCCATACTGTTCTCCACAGTGGCTGTATCAATTTACCTTCCCACCAACAGTGCAAGAGGGTTCCCTTTTCTCCACACCCTCTCCAGCATTTGTTGTTTGTAGATTTTTTTGATGATGGCCATTCTGACTGGTGTGAGGTGATACCTCATTGTAGTTTTGATCTGCATTTCTCTAATGATTTAATACTTTCAAAACACAGACTTGCAATAACGTACTTTGACCTTGCAACCATGTTAGCTGTAGTTCTTTTGTAAATATGCTAACAAACTAAGGAAGATCATTCCCTTTATAGTTGATGAAAGCTTTTTGGTTTAAATCATGAAAGAGTGTTGAACTTTGTCAAATGTTTTTTTCTACACTGATTGAGATCATATGAATTGTCTCCTTTATTCTGTTTATGTAGTGAATAATAGGGATTATTTTAAAATGTTGAACCAACCTTGCATTTCTTGAAAAAAATCTCATTTGGTTAAGCTATCTTACTCTCTTTAGATAGATATTGCTGGATTTTAATTGCCAATGTTTTGTTAGAATTTTTGTGTTTATGTTCATAAAGGATATTGATGTGTATGTAATTTTCTTTCTTTTTTATCTCTTGGAATCAGGATTATTCTGACCTCGTGAGTTAGGAAATAGTCCCTCCTTCTCTATTTCTTTGAAAGAGTTTATATAAGATTGGTATGATTTCTTTCTTAAACAGCTGATAAAATTTACTGGTGAAACCATCTGGGCCTGGAATTTTCTTCTGGGGACCATAAAAGATATAGGGCCATTCATATGATTTTTCCTTCTGTCAATTTTGGGAAATTGTATTTTTCCAAGAATTTTTCCATTTCATCTAAATTGTTGAAACCGGCATACAGTTGTTCATTACGTTTTCTTATTATTTTTTTAAATTTTTGTAGGATCTGTAAGGATGTTCTTCCTTTAGTCTTGATTTTGATTATTTGTGTTTTCTTTCTTTTTTCCTGATCAATCTCCCTACGAATCGATCAATTTTATTAATATTTTCAAAGAACCAACTTGTGGTTTTGTTAATTTTGTCCAACTTATTTTTAAAAATTACTTCCTTCCTTCTATTTGCTCTGGTTTTAAATTTCTTTTCTTATCCTAACTTCTTAAGGTGGAAACTTTGATTTCAAACTTTTATTTCTTTACAAAAATAAGCTTTTAAAGCTATAAATTTCTCAGTAAGTACCGCTTTGGCTGCATTCCATGAATTTTGACGTATTTTCATTACCATTCTATTTGAAATGTTTTTTAATGCTCTTAGAACTGTGCCTGGCATAAAGTACGCAGTTAAGTGTTGTCTCCTATTAGCTTAGTTTTTTTATTTCTCCTGTTAATAAGGGAGAATAAGTTGATGGCTCACTCTGACAGCTGTGCTTCTACCCACTTCAGAGCCTCTTTGCTGTTTCCACTGCCTGAAGCGCTACTCCTTCATATAGGCCCAGACTTCATCCCTCTTCTGGTTAATTCCTATTCATCTTGCGGGTGTGACCTCAAACATCACTTCCTCAGAGAAGCCTTCCCTGATGACCAAAACCGGGCTGGTCCTCTCATGTACTGGGTTGAATAGTGTGCACCCAAAATTCATGTCCACCCAGAACCTGTGAATGTGACCTTATTAGGAAACAGGGTCTTTACAGATATAATCATGTTAAGAAGAAATCATATTGCATTGGTTGGGAGGGGAGAGGGTGTGGCTAAATCCAATATGCTGCTGTCCTTTTAAGAAGAGGTGAATTTGGACACAGAGACACACAGAAGAACATCACGTGACAACAAAGGCAGAGATTGGAGTGATGCATCTACAAACCAAGAAATGCCAAAGATTGCCGGCAACAACCAGAAACTGACAGGCAAGGAAGGATCATCTCCTAGACTCTTCGGAGAGAGCATGGGCCTGCCAACACCTTGATTTCAGACTTCGAGCCTCCCATACTATGAAAGAATAAATTTCTGTTGATTTAAGCCACCCAGTTTGGGGTTAATTTGTTATGGCAGTTCTAGGAAACTAATGCAGCATATTCCATGTTTTCATACTTTATACTTTTTTTTCTAGCTCTTACCAGAAAATTGTTGTATACGAATTATCAGGAAATACTGATGGTGTGAAAATTCTAGTGTGGCATTTTGGTAGAGGCCTCCTTGAGAGAGAGACTACCATAATATGAACCAGTAACACAGATGGTAAGGACTTTGAAACACACGTAATTTTGAGGGGTCCTGGCCCTAAAATCATAGCATGTCGGTGGCCAACTACTTCAGCTTCTGAAAGCTAACCTTAGGTATAAGTCACAGAGCTTTCTAATGTGTAAGCTATCCAAACTGGTCATTTTTTAAAAATAGCAACAGATTGCCATAAAAGGGCACTCAAGTAGGAGTCAGAACCAGAGGTTCTGCTTCCCCTTCTGCCTCTAGGGCATTTGGGCAAGACATTCAGTCTCTCTGGGTTCCAGGTTCCTTAACAGTAAAAGGAGATGGTTTGGTCTAGATAGTAACTATGGTCTCTTTGTTCGAACTTTCTGTGGCTTTATGATTCTGGTATGGAGCAATAGTTAAAAGACAGTATTTACTTCTAAAGCACAAGACTCCTTGGTCACTGCTAGCCTTCTTCCATGAACAATATCTGAATCCAAGGATGAAATGCTACCATAAGGAGATTTAACCCAAGCTGGTGCTGGACCAAGGATTCCGCTTAAAATTTATGACTACTAGTTTTGTCCAAGCTTGTTTTACTTGACACAAGTAATGGAGGAGACGTTTCCAGGACTCTCATTTTTAAAAATATTTTAAACTGGCTAGGCTGGCTGGTCACTTTCTATCTCTGGGAAGCAGTGTATTCACCTGTTTAGAAAAAAAAAAAAGAAAAGAAAAAAGGATAAAAAGCTGTGTTTCTCAAGGTCTCTTCCAGCTCTGTGACTTCAAGGCACTTTTTTTTGTCAAGCTAGAGTGGGGCCTTGAGCTAAGTCCAGGTCTTGGGGTTACTCTCTGGAACTAGTGCTGTTCCCCTCACTATTTCTTCTCATAACCATTGCCTGTGTTGGAGGTGCTCTAACCCAGAGTAGGCTCTGAAACATGCAACTTTTGGTAAGGACGAAATCCTGGCTTTTACTAATTATGTGGACCTTAAGAGAGTCACTGAATGAGTTTGAGCTTCGTTTCCCCGCTTATAAAATAGGGATAGCTACTGGCAAAGTTGCAAAACGAAATGTCGAGTCGAGCAAAAATGCCTAGTCCTTCTTAAGTTTTCGAGTGTTGTTTTCCATAATACTAAAGAACACAAATAAAACAACTGCGGGGCTTCCCTGGTGGCGCAGTGGTTGAGAATCTGCCTGCTAATGCAGGGGACACGGGTTCGAGCCCTGGTCTGGGAATACCCCACATGCCGAGGAGCAACTAGGCCCGTGAGCCACAACTACTGAGCCTGCGCGTCTGGAGCCTGTGCTCCGCAACAAAAGAGGCCGCGATAGTGAGAGGCCCGCGCAACACGATGAAGAGTGGCCCCCGCTCGCCGCAGCTAGAGAAAGGCCTCGCACAGAAACGAAGACCCAACACAGCCAAAAATTAATTAATTAATTAATTAAAAACAAAATGACCTTTGGTGTCATAAGCACTTTGCGCCTCGCTGTAGGATCGGCGGTAACCAAGCCACAGTACTGGTTAGTTCCGTGATGCCACTTTCACTTTCGGCATTCCCTGAGCTCAGCTGCACCCGCGTGGTTCCGCGGAACAGCGCGGCGCTCGGACGCCAGTCACGGCGGTGCAGGCCCCGCCCCGCGGCGTGCGCGCTCCCGCCGCTCCCGGTGACGCGACGCGGGTGGCTACGGGGTGGTGTTTTGGCGGTACGGCTGCGGGAAAGGAGCGGAGCTACTGGGAAGCTGCTGCCGGGAAGCCGCGACTGCATTGCCGGCGCCGCCTCGCCGCGGTGGCCGTGATGCGCTCCGCTCGCGGGTCCCCGCTCCCGGGAACCCCGACCAACGAGTCGGACGCTGCCGAGCAGGTGAGGCGGCCTTTCCGGCGCGGACAAGGGGAGGGTGGGCGGCCGAAGCGGGGACGGTTGGAGAGGGGCCCGACGGGGCCCGACGGGGCAGCGAGGCCGCGGACGAGCCACTCTGCCCCGGGGGCCCTTCCCGCGCCGTTGCCTCCCCGCAGCCCGGGTCGCGCGACCACATCCGGGCGCCAGCCGTCAGCACCCGTGACCCCGGGCGGCAGGTGCTGTCCCCCAGCCCCTGGCGGGAGAAAGCTGGCAGTCGTGCTGTCGGCGCCCTCTCCGGTGACCGCGCTGGATTTCCCCTCTGACACGTAGTGGGCGCGGGTCTGGGCCGCATGGGGAGGGACCTGGCCGGGGAGAAGGATGCTGCACCGAGGACCCTGCGGGTCTTACCTGCCACCTTGTCATGACATTTACAAGTCAGCATCGTTTTTCCTTTACTCTGCTTTTACCAAGTTTCATGCTTTAGGTTTCTCTAAAATCTAAATCTGATTAGCTCCTTTGGAAAAATAGAGCTAGTTGGGCAATAAAGTGATGGTAAGAGCAGTGTTTCACAAACTCGAGTAATGCGTGACACCTCTTAAAGGGACAGTTCGCTCATTCCTCTGGAATTTGACTCAGAACCGCAGGAGTTCTCAGACCCCAGTGAGACGAACGCTGGTGTAGACTGTTTAGGAAAGAAAAGAGATGCTTCCATGCTGAAAGATAAACTAGGTTATTAAAGAATTCTAAATTAGAGACTCAGATCCCTAGTTTAATTTCACATTACAGCCTTTACTGTGTACTGCTTTGTGTAATGAAAATAATTTTCCAGCCTTGGAGAGGCCTAAAAGAATTATATTCTTTGTATTATGTTATATTTGATGTTATTGTGTCTTTGTATCAGGTCTGTTCATTCTGTTTGACACATTAGCAGAATTATAAAATGGAGTATTAATTTGTGTAAGTAGTTTGTTTATTCCATTGTTAACCTTAACATTGATTTATTTGTTGCATATTGAATCTGTGGTTTACATCCTTCCAGGCCTAATAGGAATGCATGATCTCAACCCTTACGTATATAGTCTAGAAAGAAGAAACAAAATGAAAGTTATCTAGGTGCTTATATTCTCTACATATTTATTCAGCATGTTTATTTTAAATCAACTACACATGAATAAAGAGAAGATTCAGAGTGGGGAGAAACATTGGGAAATATAACTGGTTAAATCCTGGCAAAGGATGTTGACCTGTGCCTTGAAAGAAGTGTAATATTGTGAACAGGACATATTACTTAGTAGGAAGTGACTTAAGTAATGGCCCAAGGCAAGAAGGAGGACTGCTTGTGTGGGAGAGGAGAGACCCACCTCACTAGAGCAGAGAGATGTTATCTAGGGCTGAGCAGAGGACAGTTTAGTAAAATAAGATGGGACCGTTTGACGGATGGAAGGTCTCAGATGCCACACAGGGACGCTGTTGTTGACCTGTAGGCTCTGGAAGGTTCTTTTTTTTTTTTTTCTAATTTTTTGGCTGTGTTGGGTCTTCGTTGCTGCGCACGGGTTTTCTCTAGTTGTGGCGAGTGGAGGCTACTCTTCGTTGCGGTGCGTGGGCTTCTCATTGCAGTGGCTTCTCTTGTTGTGGAGCATGGGCTCTAGGCATGCAGGCTTCAGTAGTTGCGGCACACGGGCTCAGTAGTTGTGGCTCACGTGCTCTAGAGCGCAGGCTCAGTAGTTGTGGTACATAGGCTTAGCTGCTCTGCGGCATGTGGGATCTTTCCGGACCAGGGCTTGAACCCGTGTCCCCTGCGTTGGCAGGCGGATTCTTAACCACTGTGCCACCAGGGAAGTCCCAATAGATCTTTATTGGAGTATAATTGATTCACAATACTGTTAGTTTTTGTTGAATCAGCCATATGCGTACATATGTCCCCATATCCCCTCCCTGTAGAGCCTTCCTCCCATCCTCCCTATCCCCCCCTAGGTCAATGCAAAGCACTGAGCTGATCTCCCTGTGCTATGCGGCTGCTTCCCACTAGCCATCTATTTTACATTCCGTAGTGTATATATGTCAGTGCTACTCTCACTTGGACCCAGCTTCCACCTCCCACCCTGTGTCCTCAAGTCCATCCTCTATGTCTACAACTTTATTCCTGCCCTGCAACTAGGTTCATCAGTACCATTTTTTTTTTTTAGCTTCCATATATGTGCATTAGCATACGGTATTTGTTTTTCTCTTTCTGACTTACTTCACTCTGTATGGCAGACTCTAGGTCCATCCACCTTACTACAAATAACTCAATTTCGTTGCTTTTTATGGCTGAGTAATATTCCATTGTATATATGTGCCACATCTTCTTTGTCCATTCATCTGTCGATGGACACCTAGGTTGCTTCAATGTCTGGGCTATTGTAATTAGAGCCGCAATGAACATTGTGGTACATGACTCTTTTTGAATTATGGTTTCTCAGGGTATATGCCCAGTAGTGGGATTGCTGGGTCGTACGGTAGTTCTATTTTTAGTTTTTTAAGGAACCTCCATACTGTTCTCCATAGTGGCTGTATCAATTTACATTCCCACCAACAGTGCAGGAGGGTTTCCTTTTCTCCACACCCTTTCCAGCATTTATTGTTTCTAGATTTTTTCTTGAGCTGGTTGTATTGTGAAGGTAACGTTTTACAAAGAAATGTTTCCAAAGAACGGTGTTCACCGTGAAGGCAGAAGGTTAGTGACCCGCCTAGAGACCTATCCTGAGGTAGGGATGTCTGCTGTGGTCATTTTAGATGTGTGGACTGTTTGAGGAAGAATTGACAGGACCTGGTGAATGACATAGAGGAGCAACACACAGATAATTGGGAATCAAGGTTAAGAATCAGGTGACCCCAGTCCACAGTGATACTCCTCTTAGACCTGGGGAATTTGGAAGGTGGTATTAGTTTGTGTCAAAAAGATTTGGGAGCACAATCTTAGACTAAATGAGTTTGTGGTAACTGTAAGCTCAAGATGTGGAACTGAAACTTGAGGGAAGTCAGAGTTGCAGATCTGGGAAACTACAGAGGAGATGCAGGGAAAAGTATGACTAGAAAAAGATCATTTAAAATGGGGACCAGAAGTTTGCAAATGAACAGTGAGAGGTAGGGAAGAGGTTTGATTAGGACTTGCTATTGAAAAATAAAATTTAAAGACTTCCCTGGTGGCGCAGTGGTTAAGAATCTGCTGCCAATGCAGGAGACACGGGTTTGAGCCCTGGTCCGGCAAGATCCCATATGCCGCAGAGCATCTAAGCCCTTGTGCCACAACTGCTGAGCCCGCGAGCCACAGCTACTGAAGCCCACGTGCCTAGAGCCCGTGCTCTGCAACAAGAGAAGCTACCGCAACAAAGAGTAGCCCCCACTCACCGCAACTAGAGAAAGCCCACACACAGCAATGAAGACCCAACACAGCCAAAAAATTAATAAATAAATAAATTTATTAAAATAAATAAATAAAATTTTAAATATTAAGAAAATGTCGATCATAAATGCAACTATGTGCATTCTTCTTTTTTCTCTTATTTTAAAAAATTGAAGCATAATTGACCTACAACACTATGTTAGTTCCAGGTGCACAGCATAGGGATTCGATAATCCTGTACATTACGACAAAGATCACCACCATAAGTCTAGTTACCATCTGTCACCATACAAAGTTATTACAATATTGACTATATTCCCTATGTAAATTTCATCCCTGTGACTCATTTATTTTGTAACTGGAATTTTGTACCTCTTAATCTCTCTCACCTGTTTCTCTCCTCCCATTTCCTACCCCACTGGCAACCACCAGTTTGTTCTCTGTACGTTTGTGTCTGTTTCTGTTTTGTTATGTTTGCTCATTTGTTTTTTAGACTTCACATATAAGTGAAATCATATAGTATTTGTCTTTCTCTGTCAAACTTATTCCACTTAGCATAATGCCCTCCAGGCCCATCCATGTTGTCACAAATGGCAAGATTTCATTCTTTTTTTGTGGCTGAGTAATATTTCATTGTATACATACACCACAATTTTTTTATCCATCTGTTCTTGGGCACTTTACTTGCTTCCATATCTTGGCTGTTGCAAATAATCCTGCTATGAACACAGGGGTGCGTATATCTCTTCAAATTAATGTTTTTGTTTTCTTCAGAAAAATACCCAGAAATGGAATTGCTGGATCATATGGTAGATCCATTTTTAATTTTTTGAGGAACCTCCATAATGTTTTCCTTAGTGGCTGCACCAGTTTACATTCCCACCAACAATGCTCAAGGTTCCTCTTTTTCCACATCCTTGCCAACACGTGTTACCGTGCATTCTTCTTAAAACAACAAACGAATCAAGTTGTTTTGATGTATTTTTCCCACAGCTGAGTGCCACACAGCATCCTTCACTTCACTTTGGCCTCTCACTCCCACCAGGACGGTCATTTCTTACAGAATTCTGCCTGTTTGTGGGCTTCTTTTGATTTTTCCAGCTTCTCTTGTCATCTTTTGATATTCATATTATTCTTTTTTGAAGCACCCTTTGTGGCATCTTACCTGTTCTTACTCAGGTTTAGCTCTTCCAGAGTCTCATTTGTCTGTGATTTTGTTTGCCTGTAATTTCAGAATTTGCTAATGTCTGTATCACTGCATCCTGCATTTTTCACTGTGGGAGCCATTTCACTTTGCAGTTGACTTGTATTGTTTTCACTGTTTTCCTTAGGACTGTCAATGAGAAACTGACTGAAAAGACTTTAACTCAGGACCCAGTGGACCTCACTCTGCTAAAGAACGTTCAGCTGAGGGAGGGCCCCATGAGCTGAAAGAATTCGAGTTAATGCATCTCT